GCTATGCTATGCTATGCTATGCTATGCTATGCTATGCTATGCTATGCCATGCCATGGCCATTCCACTCTACTCTACTCTACTCTACTCTACTCTACTCTACTCTACTCTACTCTACTCTACTCAGTTAAAAACTGTTGAAACTGATGATGTCATTTCTTCTGTCTAACTGAGCTAAACCAAGTGGCACTGACTATCTTGTGTTTTTAGTTGTGTGTTTGACTCAAAAAATGAAAGAACTCCTTGAGTTGAACCCCCTGCTAGTGACTTGATGGACCCAACCATCTGTTGGTGGACTCTTAGCTCTCATTGCAACTTTCTTCCTAATTCCCCTTTGGTGCTGGGCTAAAGCAGGCAGCTCTTCCCTAGGTCTCTCACTGAAGGATTTTGTAGGACCAAGAACTCTTCTTAGCTCCCAACTCTGGATAAGGTTCGTATTTATGTGTCTCTAATTAAGTCTCAATCAATAAAACTATCCAAAGATCTTGGTTCTAATCCATCTGACAGTACAGCATAAATGTACTAAAAATGATAATTATAGTTATTGCTCAAATGTGAAAGTGAAATAGATCAGGGAAAGCAAGATAGTTAGGTATTGTAAGAGGATGCTCCAGAATTGGCCATTTGATAGGCTAGATCAAGGGTCTTCAAACTTGACAAGTTCAAGACTTGTGGACTTCAATTCTCAAAATTCCTGAGCTAGCATGACTGGAGGAGGAATTCTGGGAGTTGAAGTCCACAAGTACTAGAGCTGTCAAGTTTGAAGACCCCTGGGATAGATTCACATAGCCCTGGGATCTCCTGGTGGTCTCCCATCCATGCTCTTATTATCCCAGACTCTGCTTGGTTTCTGACCAAAGAGAAGTGTATTCAAGGGCTGCCACCTGCTGGAAACATTCTGGAACATTCTTGGACTCCTTGCTGCTCTCTGAGCTCGGCTGTTTTCCTGCAGTCATTTCTTTATCCAGCTAGGTAATACCATCAGTGCAGGGCTGAGTGTAATTTGTAGTTGATATACGTTCTCTTGCCCTGTCTGCGCTGTTGGGGGTTGGTCTTTTATTTGATGGTTCCTTGATTAGCCCATTGTTACCTCCCTAATTCTTAAAGGAGATAATTAATTTCATTTATTATAAGATGAACTCCAGCTGATGATATAGATAAATTGGTAGCTTCTTCCTCAAGGCCAATCAAGCGTGACATCTGTTTTTCACTCCGGTTTATTTTCTGCCTTTTAGAGACAGGTTTAGAAGGTGGAATTTAACTTAGAACGCAAACTGTATTGAGGTCCTAATTCACACACCTATTTAGAATTAAACCAGAAGCTTCTGAGTGAAGAATTCGGGAATTCAGGACTTTTGGGCCAAGATGTCCACACCAACCTTCCATCCAGGGGTTGGATTCAATTTTCTTTACAACTGGTTCTGAGGGCATAGCCTAATTTGTGGGTGTAGCTTGGTGGTCATGTGACTGGGTGAGTGTGGTTTGCTGACTGGGCGTGGCTTGGTGATCACATGACTGGCTGGACGTGGCTTATATGTCAATATTGTAAATATTGATGTAAATATTTAATTTTTTTATTTAAAAAAGAGCAACTTTTACCCAAAATCAGGCAAAGCAGGCAGGCAGATTGAGTTGCTCAGAGAATCACAGATTCACTCAGAGATCTACCTTTCTGCAATCGGCTACCTGAGTCTGCACTAAAAAAATAGAAGCTTCAGTCCTAAGGAAGGTTTAGCTAATTTAAATCATCAGAACAGCTGATGGTTGGGGGAATATTGAGAAAAAATAGCAACTTAGCAGGCAAGCTTGGTGGCACGCATACCAGGTAAGGTGTGAGTGGGCGGGGAGGGGAGGGGAGGGGAGGAGCCAGCCAGTGGCACAATTTGCCGGTTCTCCGAATTGGGCAGAATTATAACAACCGGTTTTATAGCAGAATCAGAGAAGAAGGAGGCATGGGAGTCAGGGTCAGCAACAGGGCAACCTGAGAACTCTGAGGGGGAAGGGGGAATGGAGCTGGCAGAGAGAGACAGAGGTGGAGCTTGGGCTGTCAGTCAGCCCACAGATGAAGAGACAACAGCGCCCAGGTCTGGAGGTGGCTGATGAGGAAGAGGAGGGACACCTGCATGGAAGAGGAGGAACAGAAGGCAGAGGAGAGAAGAGCAGTGGAAATCTCTTCAGAAAGAATTCTAGTAGCTATGTCCAGATAGAATAGAATAGAATGGAATGGAATGGAATGGAGTGGAGTGGAGTGGAATGGAGTAGAGTAGAGTAGAGTAGAGTAGAGTAGAGTAGAGTAGAGTAGA